AAGGTACTCACCAAAAGCTTAGTTTTTTTTTCTATATTGGCCTCACTTTGTCATCAAATGCCAACAGTAACATCCCATTTTAGTTTCATAATTCCTCCTATATGTCTAGTAATCTGAAAAAAGTGTCTACAAAATCACATCAGATTGTTAGTACAAATCATATCAAATTTATACTGGATATGCACATACTCCCTCCATTCTATAATATAAGATGTTACTACAACCAATATACTCATATATTGGTTGTAATAACATCTTATATTATGGGACGGAGGGAGTAGAAATTATTTCTCCATTTGATTCATCTCCACACTCCATAATTGGCATCCATCTACAAGCACAAGCCAATTGTGGCAAGAAGGTCTTTGTAATGCAGCGTGCACCAAGTGTTTTAGAAGATCTACGATGATGCACACCTATGAATTCATGCCCGAGTTTATGGGTTGTACATTCGGAGAAAGGGGTGTTTGTTGGCCGATGTGCCTCTTCTTTCATGCTTGCGACCAGTTTGCCCCCTACGGGGACGTTTGGGGCAACCCACACGTGTACATTATGTTCTTCTCGTCTTTAATTTCTCACTAAAGTGCTTCTTGCCGTTTCACCAAAAGAGCCAATTTCAAGTTTTTTAAATTCAAAAATACTTCACATAGACATTAGGATCATGAAAATGATAATGAAAAGAGCCAATTTCAAGATTTCTAAATACAGAAACACTTCACATTAACTGACTAATGCCTTTTGGTACTCCTAATCATTTTAACACAAACTATGTATGTCATTGGCAGCAGAAAATAATTGAGAGCCTATATATATAATCGATTACATTCCGGAGAAATGTAATAATGTAAGTTACCTCCAGTGAGAAATGTACTTCCCCTCAACTGCCCTGCTCTTTCCTCTATCTTCCTCTAAGTTAGCCTCCGGAAATTCTTAACAACAGTGCATATCAGAAAATTCGTGAGACAAGGGCATAAGTTGTGAATACTCCTGCATAGACAAAATAACTGAGAGAAAGAGGCTAGAGAGGATATGTCAAGATACTCTAGGATGTTGAAAGCTCATTATTTCAGAGTCACGGCAAAGAAAATGGAACATATGGCTAAAATCTAACATCTTTCTTAGTTGTACAAACCTATGAAAATGAGGAAGTAGTGCAAATGCAAAGAATGCCGAAAAAAAACACAACCACGAGGCAAGCAATTTATTAACTACCTTGGTAATGATAGAACATTACAGAGTTCATGAGCTCTGTACCATCAGGTGGTGACATGGTCCTGCAAGTCATGTTCGAGAAGACAATGAGATTTAAGTTGCAAGAAGTGCGTCCGTTATGCTATCTATTTCATTAAAAATAATTAATAAAATTGAATTACCGTGGATCAAATCTATTAAAATCTAAACATACCATCCAGAAAACTGTTGTAGGGGTGTCACTGGATGCAAATCTTGCTAGTCCAAGACCACATATCTTGAGTTTACAGTTCCCTTGGAAGTCACATATCTTGAGTCCTACCCTAATCCAAAACCACATATCTTGAGCCGTACCACAAATCGCTCAGAAGTCAGAAATGATTCCTTGGATTTCACATATATTCTTTAGTAGATACTGCAACATGAGGTCACAACTATTTCACCTGAGTGTCAACATGTCAAAATTTAGTGTAAGAAGAAATTATCCAAAGAATTCCTTTAGGAGGACTCAAAGAGAGATAAGACTGGCAGCTTCCACTATATGTTCCTGAAATAAGAATTACTTAAAACACACAACCCATTTTCTTGAGAGCCTTGGGCTAAACCAAGTTCTGAAGAAACAATTTGGTCAATATATTTTAGAACTCTTCTAATTGAAATCTGCACTACCATTAGTCTGAAAAATTCTCAAGCACATTATTTCTGAATTCCATAGTATCCATACTATTGCCGATGGGACAAACATCATATGGCAAGTGCTCTTTGCACATGTGAAATCAAAAGAGGTACATGCTATTTACCTGATGTATGAATCATATCCGATCTGTTCACAGCCATTTATGACATTTTAGCATTCAGATGGTTGCTCACAAAAAGCGACCTGTCCTAATCTGCACACTTCAAATCAGAAAGAAACTTCCCTACTGCCTGCTATTCCTAGCAGCAGCCAGCCACAGGACCCTCACCTTCCTTGGCATCGGCCTGCCATGTAACAGAGGTTGAATTATGATAAATATAATCCTGAACTATGTAAAACCAAATGATGACGTGAACATAAAAGGCACTTGATTTCTACAACTGATCTAACAAACTAAAAATAGTCATCATACGCCTACTTTTTCCTCGGTTTGTCTCATCCATGAACAACCAACTTTATAGAAGAAGAAAACACTCGACACATAAATTGAAAGACCTTATAGAATATGGAAGTGTTCCTTGCTCCAGCAACATTGCTGACATATGCATCTCCTCATTTCCTCAAGCAACAGCCAACCATGGCGCTTCTCCATTTCTGAAGCAAGTTAATATGATAGAATCAGGAATAAATCTATAATTATCTCCATTTCTGAAGCAAGTTAATCTGAATGATATTTGAGGCTAGTATGGGCCGGAGTGACATATATGAATGAGATAATGTGACAAAGCTATGCATTCATGTGGATCACGAAATAGATCAGAAGCGCCGTATTTCAATGTCAGCGAATGGATGTGCAAATTTTGTGCAGAGTCACGTTTGGTTCTGCAAGATCTAAAGGGAAAAAATACAGTGAGAGGCTCACGCTGCTGCTGCATGCTAACGTACCTTGAGGAGGCACTGGATACGGGCTTGGAGGAGGACGTCACGGGAGGACGATGTCCGAGTCGTTGGATGTCCGCGCCACCAGGGGTCTCCTCTTCCTCCTTTTTTTTGAGAAGAAGAAATAATTGGTGTCAAGCACAAGATCAACAAAAATAAGTCTGACGGGAGATGGATCAAACACCCTGGATAGCATCTTCTCGGTGGCCAAAGAATTGATCTAATTAAACACAAGCACACAAATATCATGAATAGTACCTTTTGCTCTCGTGTTAGTAGGCAAAATTATTATCACTTATCGTGTTACCAATTTACCGTTTATTAGCCACCTTGACATCAACGGATTCAGCGGTTTTGTATCTTCCTCATCGAAGAAAACTACTTCCTGAAAATGTTAAAAAAACATCACCGGAATACATATTAGAAATCTTAATTCATGTCAAACATTTGCAGCCAACATCAATGAAAAAAAATGATGAAGTGTATACACAACAATGACGATCTTCTCGGTAAATAAAATCCAAGCACCGTACATGATTTGAATACAATTATTTGTATTTGGCAGATATAGGTTTCAACTCAATACATTTTTTGTTCAGTGCAGAGGTCTTCTCTGTTGTTTATGCTAAGAAAAAAAATATTATTTAGAAAACGTAGAGATGGATGAAAAACAGAAACAACTTTTGCATTTGTCCCCATAATGTTACACGATGATAAGTATAATGGTAGATGCGGATATGAATTTTAGTTCAAATAACATATTTCATTTTCACAAGGAGTGAATGAGAAAAAAATACCACAGGACTATCAAAGAAAGGCGTGAAAAAGTTGTCAGCGTATTCACCTTATTCTCATTTCTTACATTTAACTTCTCATATTGGCAGGTCTGATTCTCGGAATTGTCCGACCTTCACATCAGCAAATTTATCAAATTTATCAGAGAAACATAATGTTACGTGGGGTACGCCCCACGTACCAATGAGAGACCGGAAGAACGACTCAAGCAATAGTGGTTTCAAACACGCTTAGCAATAGTGGAATCAAACACGCTTAGCACTACCAAGGCCTACTGGATCCATCTATCAACTGTCAATATAAATGTATTGAAGAAGCTGCATTTAGAGAACCTTTTGGGTTTTTTATTCCCATCTCCTTTAACAATTCAAGGTACAAATTAATGACCTGAAGACAAGGGATCCCACTTTCCCCATTACGTATAAAAACATCAGTGCAAAGTTTACATGTTTGCAATCAATAAGGATGGTTTAGTACATGTAAGATGAATATTTAGCTCGTCATTTAACCTGCCATGTGGTTTCAAACACTGTTTTTTTTCTGCTAACCTGAGTGTTAAACGTTTCATGTAGCACCAGGACTTTTGCTACTGTAAGTGAAAAGGAGCAATGTTCAGTTGTGTTAGTAAGGCACATAGGAAGCTTCAAACAAGATGCAAGCATGTCATGAAACATACCCTGAACCGTTACCATACAAACAATCGTGAACTTCATTTTCAGCTTCAGTAGTTAGAGGTTCAGACAACTGGGAAAGATCAACATACATAAATCAAAGGGTTAATGGAGAATAGAAAGTTGTACAAGCCACAACCAAGCAGGTCAATCAGACACATATTATAAAAAAACAGAAGAAGAACTCTGTGGTTGCCTCTTTTAAAATTTGAAGCAGTCAAACCAGATTTGACACTAAGTACACCAAAACTATGAAACTATCTGCATCAGTTTTCTACTTCCATCCCCAAATAAATTTCAAGTCACCGGCTAGGCAAAAGGTGCATCCAACGCACAAGCACGAGGAGGAAGATTGAAAAAACCCGGGTAGTTACTGCACCCGTGACTTGGAGCAGACTTGGTACCACTGCCGCATCAGATTCGCCAAAGCATCAGCGTCCACTGACTGGTCTGCGGCACAGGCAACAACAACGTCGACGCATCTGATAGCCAAGGCGAAGACGGCGTCGACACTCATCTATGGGGCTATGGGAGAAAAGCAAGCAAGCAACGCTGACCCAAGACCGGGCAGAAAGATGAGTTGCCTAGAAATAGAGGGAACCAGTTGTCTGTTGTCAAACAAAAAAAAAAATATAGCACACCAGCCATGATCAGAAACCATAGTCTTTTCCACTTAATATGACACATTCATGCAGCACAAATACAGGAAAACATTACATTCAAGATTCAGTAATTGTCCCACATATATTGCCACTCGAGAGCCAGAACTAAATTGCAAGAATTATGTATATCAATGGCATCATTTTGACTGAGACGGACCAAACCAAACTGAATGTTATAAGCAACGGATAAACAAAGCACCAAATTTCAATCACAGATAGGGTTGATTCTTGAATCTGGCAAGTTCTGGGAAGGTGTGTGCTTACAGGCAAGGAGAAATCCCCAACATGACGACACCCATTAACCAGGTGAAGAAGGAGATGATGACCCAGCCCCGCACGAGGCTGGCCGGCCGGCCTTCCTAACTGGAGGATGCTACAGTACAAAGACGTGATCCCAGTGAAGATCATCATCCTGGAGAAAGTGATGGCCAGCGTCTTGAACAGCGTCTGCAGCACATGCAACAAAAGTTCTCCATCTCTTGAGAAACCAAAAAAATACGAATGGCAAAACGAAACGCAATTTGCAAGCCAGTCATGCACAATCACATCAAGCTTCTACACGCGAAGAAAATAGCCACCGTTGCCACAGTTTTACTGAAACACGCATTGTAACCAGATCTCATATCTCATCAGAAAATACAAGTGGATGCAATCCGCAAGTGCCTAATTCTCTTTGCCACAAATATGACATACAGAGCAATACAAAACCGATTTGCAGGGTAGAAATACATGAAGGAAATGATAATGTGCGTACCATCTCCCTCCGGAGCTCTTCCTTGTAACCGGAGTCCACCTCAATCTGGGACAGCGCTACTCTCCAGGCTCGGAGCCATGGCAAGGACCTCAACATCGCTGGCAAGCCCATCAAACTTGGGTATGTGGGGCTTCCTCCGATGGTGGCTGGCGAGATCTATGGTGGCCAGGGAAGGGATAGAGCAGCTCTCGCAGCACAAGATTCACGGCAAGTCAGGGAGGGAGAGGAGGGGATCCAGCAGCGCGAGATCCATGTCGATTTGGGGAGGGAGAGGAGCATCGTGTGGGAGGAGGGAAGCACACCGCGCGGCTCGTGGAGGAGGAGGGATTCAGGGAGAGATGCGAAGATCGGGGGCTGGTTAGGGTTCCCTAGGCCGCCACGTGATCCAGCGCGGCGGGAGGGGCTGGCCCTGAGGAGCGACGACCCGGCGAATCCATCGGCCGGCGGCGAAGTGATGGAGCGGCGGCGGTGAATGGACGAAGGGCGGCGGCGGCGAACGAGGGCACAGAGTCGGGCGACTGTTTGTCGCTCGAGGGCAAGAGACCTCGGTCGTACGTGCGGGATTGGTTTGCGATTTTTTTCGCTGGTTAATTTTCGCCGGTTTGTTTTTTGCTGGTTTATTTTCGTTTGTGACAGATGGGTACGACGGGAGGTTAGGCGCGTGGTGGCGGGTGTGGGACTTGGCTGGAGGGTTTTTCTTGATTCATCGCGGCTGAGCGTGAGGTGGGAGCAGGTACCAAAAAAGACCATGATAGGTGGGACGAAAATAAAACCCGGAACGCGACCTACCAACTGAGACATTAGGAGTAGAGACTAGTAGTCCTAGTAGTACTCCCCTTGTGGGGCGTGCGCTAGGAGGTTCAGCCGGCCTCCCCCTTTCTCCTTTATATATGGGGGCAGGGCGCACCCTAGAACACACAAGTTGATTTTTTAACCGTGTGCGGTGTCTCCCTCCACAGTTACACACCTCGATCATATTGTCGTAGTGTTTAGGCGAAGCCCTGCGCCGGTAACTTCATCATCACCGTCGCCACGCCGTCGTGCTGATGAAACTCTTCCTCGGCCTCAACTGGATCAAGAGTACGAGGGACGTCATCGAGCTGAACGTGTGCTGAACGCGGAGGTGTCATAAGTTTGGTACTTGGATCGGTTGGATCGCGAAGACGTTCGACTACATCAACCGCGTTAACTAAACGCTTCCGCTTTCGGTCTACGAGGGTACGTGGACACACTCTCCCCTCTCGTAGCTATGCATCACATAGATAGGTTTTGCGTGATTTTAGGATTTTTTTTGAAATTACCGCGTTTCCCAATAGTGGCATCAGAGCCAGGTCTATGCGTAGATGTTATATGGACGAGTAGAACACAAAAGGTTGTGCGCGATAATAGTCATACTGCTTACCACCAACGCCTTACTTTGATTCGGCGGTATTGTTGGATGAAGCGGCCCAGACCGACATTACATGACCACATTCATGAGACTGGTTCTACCGACATACTTTTGCACAAAGGTGGCTGGCATGTGTCTGTTTCTCCAACTTTAGTTGAATCGAGTTTGACTATGGCTGGTCCTTGTTGAAGGTTAAAACAACACACTAGACGAAAAGTCGTTGTGGTTTTGATGCGTAGGTAAGAACGGTTCTTGCTAGAAGCCCGTAGCAGCCACGAAAAACTTGCAACAACAAAGTAGAGGACGTCTAACTTGTTTTTGCAGGGCTTGTTGTGATGTGATATGGTCAAGGCATGATGTGATATAAATTGTTGTATGAGATGATCATATTTTGTAACAAAGTTATCGGCAACTGGTAGGAGCCATATGGTTGTCGCTTTACTGTATGCAATGCAATCGCCATGTAATTGTTTTACTTTATCACTAAGCCATGGTGATAGTTAAACCCGGGCGTGGGCAGCCCGGCCCGGCAACCCGGCCCGAGCCCGGCCCGGCAACCCGGCCCGAAAAACCCGGGCCGGGCCGGGCCGGGCTTCTGTCTCGGGCCGGGCTCGGGCTTCAGAAATAGACAGGTTTGTATTTTCGGGCCGGGCTCGGGCTCCAAAATTAGCCCGAAGCAAAGCCCGGCCCGGCCCGAACCTTCGCTGAAAAACTCGAATGCACACTAGACACCCCCAGCCCAACCGAAAGCCCAGCGCCCCCAGCCCAATACACAAACCCTAACTCCTATCCCCTCCCCGCACCCGCACACACAGCCCCGTCCGGCCGTCCCCAACCCTCCCCGAGTCCCAGACGAGAGACGACTACCCCGTCCGGCCGTCCCCAACCCTCCCCGACCCCGAGTCCCACACTGCTCCACCGGCGGCGGCCAGATCCTGCTATGGCGCGGCCGTGGTGCTCTCTCCCTACCCCAACCTGACGAGCTCTGTTCCCTCCCCATCCCGATCTAACGAGCGGCGGTGCAGCTTCCTCGTCCCGACGGCGCCGCACCCACCTGACAGCGCCGCACCTTCCTCGACCCGACGACGCCGCACCTTCTCGACCCAACGGCGCCGCACCTTCCTGGACCCGACGGCGACCACGTCCACTGCTCCGCGACTCACTGCATCGGCGCTCACTGGTCGGCGTGTGACCATCAGGTATGAGTCTCCTGTACTTCTTCTCCTTCTCTGAATCTTCTGTTTCCTTAATGTGTAGTATGCTCCTTCTCTGAACGATCTGTGTAAGTGCTAGTCTGAGCATATTTATTGTGTTTTTTGGCAGCCATGACTAGTTTGTGGAGTCTAAGTGAGGAATATCACGAGGAGGAAGACGTGGATTATGAAGTCGATGGTGATCAGGAGAATATTGCTACAAGTGCAAGATCGGACCAGATCATTGTAGCTGCTCCCGTTCCTTGTCCGGCTGCCCCTGCTCGTACTGCCGCGGCACCTCGCACTCGCAGCAAGCGGGCAAGGTTGAATCAACAGGCTCCAGCAGGATGTAACGGACGGCGTGCAAGAACTAATGAGCCATCCGATGGAGATGAAGCGAATCAGCAGCCACCGCCACCACCACCGCCACCACCCGGACCACAGGTTAATCCTGCGCCAAAATTAAGGTCAAAAGCATGGGATAACTTCACTTTGATTGAACAACCTGATCCTGATCAAGTATTTGCTCAGTGCAAAACTTGTAAAGCCATACTTAGAGCAAGTTCGAAAAATGGAACATCTCATTTGTTAAGGCATACTGCTAATGTGCATCCATCACATGGAACAACTTTGGAGAGTTTGTTTGCTGAATATAGTGGTGCTGTTGTTAGTCAAACACCATCACATGGTGCTACAAACAGTAGGGGAAGTAGGGGAGATGGTTCTGATATGTTCGATGACTGCGAGAGTTACATTCAATCTCAACGGACAAATGTAGAGAGGTCTCAATTGGATCTTTATTTGGAAGAAACTCCTAGAAAATTGAATGACGAGTTGAATGTCTTGGAATTTTGGAGCAAATCATCTGTGCGATACCCTGAGCTTGCATCAATGGCTCGGGATATTCTTGCTGTCCCCATTTCTAGTGTTGCTTCGGAACAAGCCTTTAGCATGAGTCACAAAGTTATAACACCTAACCGAGCTTCACTTAAGCCTAAGACCATCGAGGCTTTAATGTGTCTCCAAGATTGGTATCATTGGAAGATGTCTCAGAGTGAAGGTACAATTAAGCGTCTATTGTTGTTTCATATTAACATCACCATTGCACACATTACCATTGATTCTTGTATTGTTTGTTTTGTAGAAATGAGCACTACAGGAGGTGGACCTTCAAGTTCTCATGCAAATGAGTTATCTTCAGATTCGGTTTGTATTCATTCATGCACTCCTTTAGTATCTTGTCTTGTTTGTTGATATCAAACTTGCTTTCCTGCTTCATGCCATTCCTATCTTCCTTATTTTCAACTTGTGCTTTCATCCAGGAAAATGATGAAGTTGAGATAGCTTGATGGAATAAGGAAGAGATGGATTCAAAAGAGTCATCAACTTGTGGCTTTGAAGTTTGAACTTGCTATTTGATATCTTTATTATGTAATGGACTTGTTATTTGATATGCTGTTATGTAATCAGACTTGTTGAACTATGTTGTGCTATTGTGGGCTTATCGAAACTTCGAAAGTATGTTGCGGACTTGTTGAACTATGTTGCTTATGTCTTTGGCTTGAGAAATATGCTGCTGTTATGTAATGAATGCATTACATGTATATGTAATTATGTATATGCATATGCTGCTGTTTTGTGTGCATATGCTGCTGTTTTGTGTGCATATGCTGCTGTTTTGTACATATGATGTTGATTCTGTAACTTGTTGTACATCAGGATCAGGAGTTGTCGGGCTTCGGGCCGGGCTTCAGGCTTCGGGCTTTTCAGCCGGGTCGGGCTCGGGCTTGTAAACGCGAATTTTCTCGGGCTTTTTTTCGGGCTCCGGCTTCACATCTCAGCATCGGGCTTTTTTGAGCCCGGCCCGAAACCCGGCCCGGCCCGAGAGATGCCCGGGTTTAGTGATAGTCATAGTAACGATAGTTGGCGAGACGACAATGATGCTACGATGGAGATCAAGGTGTCGTGCCAGTGACGATGGGGATCATGACGATGCTTCGGTGATGGAGATCATGAGCACAAAATGATGATGGCCATATCATGTCACATATTTTGATTGCATGTGTTGTTTATCCTTTATGCATCTTATTTTGCTTAGTACGATGGTAGCATTATACGATGGTCCCTTACTAAATTTCAAGGTACAAGTGTTCTCCCTGAGTATGCACCATTTCTACAGCTCGTCGTGCCGAGACACCACGTGATGATCGGGCGTGATAAGCTCTACATTCACATACAATGGGTGCAAGCCAGTTTTGCACACGCAGAATACTCGAGTTAAACTTGACGAGCCTAGCATATGCAGATATGGCCTCGGAACACTGAGACCGAAAGGTCGAACGTGAATCATATAGTAGATATGATCAACATAGTGATGTTCACCATTGAAAACTACTCCATCGCACGTGCTGATCGGACATGGTTTAGTTGATTTGGATCACGTGATCATTTAGATGACTAGAGGGATGTCTGTTTAAGTGGGAGTTCTTAAGTAATATGATTAATTGAACTTTAATTTATCATGAACT